CCCCAAAACCCCAAAACCCCAAAACCCCAAAACCCCAAAATATCTTACAATTATGGATATTATGCTTTAATGTTAGCTATGCCCAAGGATTCTTATTATCGAGGATGCAGTCCAGCTGATAAGTTGCACATATTTTCTTCACAACTTCTTTTGAGAAACCTACATTTGTCAGTTTCAACTTCTCTAGATTTTGGGCCAAGTCTGGAGCTTGGGCTAGAGCTTCGATAAAGTTTTGACAGTTTTGAATTCTCTGGCCAACCTCTAAACTTCTATTAATAATCGAAAAGTCTATATCAAGATTTCTAAGGGAACAATTCTCAAGAGCTTGGGAAAGGTCTGGAACAGTGCTGAAATCAATTAATCATCTGCTCAAAACAATGATTTTAATCCTCTTGAACACAGAAAAAAGTCTCTTGAGTTGGGCTTGACTAATGCTGAACCCTCTTAGGCGGAGCATTCTCGTCAGGCTCAATGAAGCAAGTTGTATTTCTTTAAGATAAATCCCAATGTTGATCTTCTGGCCGTAAGGAGAATTTCCATTGAGATAGAATAACTGGAGCATCTCAATTCTGTTGGGAAAAACTTGTCTGAAGAATTTTCTGACCATCTTGTCGTCATTCTTGGAGAAGGTGAAAGTGACATTGTAACATTCAGGAATGTGAAGTTTTATATTGCTTTGAGGACTCTCTTCTCTCTTGCGAATGTTGTGTTGATTGTAAGGTTTGTTTTCGAATCAAATGTGCTCAGATACCCACTGTTGTGTTCATATTTGGAGAGCATTAGTCTTAACTCCAAATTATTTTCATCAGAAGCATGCTTAGTTTCCTCTCTTTCTGTGTAGGCCACCTTTAATTTTCCAATTAGATTCTTCTGCACTCTCAATTTCTCCTTCATCTCGTTCAGAGTATTTGTATCCTGATGCTTTATCTGCATAGATTCGGTTGATCATTTCTGAGACACCCACTCGGTGCAGAACTTATGGAAGCCAAGATCATTGCTTAGACCAACCAAGAGGTCTCGCTTGACTCCTTTGGACTGCATAATTGATAAGACTTTAGAAATCATGTCATGAGCACCTTCTTGTGAAAGAGATAAAACTTCCATATTTTTAATTAATTTATTAAAACTTCAGCTAATTTATTATGAGAGGGGTTTTGGGGTTTTGGGGTTTTGGGG